GTAGCCAAACGTGGTGGGCACTTGCGGAATTTGCCCCAGCGGCTCTGTGGCCGTCCAGTTGAAGATGGACGTATCGACGTTGTCGAGTCGAAAGACGTCGCCGCGATCGTCGCCGACTAGAATGCGAGCTCATTGCGCGCAGATCAAGGAGGGAGTCTACCGTAGCGAGGGTAGGCGAGACGAAACGGCGCAATGGCCCGCTGTGCGCCGGTGGGATGCGTCTTGGCCGGCACCTTTCCGATGCGAAAGTCGCAGCTGCTGCAGTCCGCTGCGTGCGTCACCATGGAGGATCCTGTCGTCGAGGCCTACGATGCTAGCTTAGGCAGCGCCACACGCGCCGCTCGAGACCTCTCGCCCGACGACGATCGTCGTGCAGCCCTGAGCCGTGAGGGCCAGCGTCGCCAAGATCGCCAAAAACATCGAATCGGATGCTGCCCGCTCATTGGCCCGCGATATTCTGCGTGCATTTGATTGGCTAGTGCTCCTCTTCAACTTGGGCAGCGTGTTCAACCAGGATGAGGCCAAGTCGTCGTGCTGGTAATTTCAAATGTAGATTCGGCTGATTTACTACTTGAAATGAAACATGACACTGCCAAAGATGCCGAGGACCCCCTGGAGCAGCTCGGCGACAAGGCCACATATGCTTTGAACGACGTGGTAGACGCTCCCCAGCAGCGAAGCCACGAGCTGGTTGATGGAAGACACCAAGGTCGGGAGGCCAACCGCGACAGCAACCTCGTACGTTAGTGTGACGAGTTGGCGCGCGACACGAGCAACGACAACGAGGACGTTCCAGAGCCCACTGATGCAGTGCAGAGCGACCTTGACGAGGTCGGAAGCCAAGCTCGTGACGCGGCGTTTGATCTCGGGACTGATGGCGGCATTGAGCGCACGACCAACTTCGTTGAGCAGCGATAATGCCATCGTCATTGGCGTCGTGACAAGCCAGCGCATGAACCCAAGCGGGTGCGTTAGCAATTCGAAAAGCCTCCCGACGCCTCGGAAGATTGCGGCGAGCATGCGCTCAAACGGCCCATGCACGAGCTCGAGGATCGCGACGATTTGTCGTGCCAGAAACTCAAAGCTTTGGCCCACAAGTGTGAATATCGTCGTTGCTAGTGGGGCGAGTGCGACGCCGGTCGGGTGCAGCACTAGTCGGGTGGTGAGACAGACACCAACGATGAGCATATCCTACCGTGTCGCCACGCCCGGCGACCGACGCCGCGACAGCAGTAGCCAGCAAACGAGGCCAGTGTCAGCGAGGTATCGACAGCAATAGAAACAACTGCGTACACTGCGAGAAAGACTGGAATCGTCAGCGCAAACATGAGCACAAGGTCGCGCGCCGTGGCCGTCCATGGCTTGGCCGTCGACGTTCCGGGCACATGGCGCCGGAGGAACCGACGAAAGAAGGATCGAGATGGCGGCGGTGTCGCCGGCGCGTACACGGGTGGCGATGAGAACTTGGCAGCACACGTCGCCACGCGCGCCTACGTATCGTGCATTGAGGCGGCAAATGACATGGCGTCGCGGACCTTGGCGTCGTCGTCGTATGGCGATAAGAGCGACGCCGTCACATAGTCGTTGTACGCCAGTTGAAGCTCCTGTAGCAAGGTGAGAGGTGAGCGTCGCCAGCACGCCACGTACCGACGTCACGAGGTAGCTGTCGGCGCGGCGGGCGTAGTAGAGCCCTTCGCTGGGATGGCTCTCGATCGCTCGCGTAAAGTGCTTGATGGCCTTGGCGTAGTTGCGCTCGAGGAAGCGCTCGAGGCCGCGCTCGTAGTGGATGCTGTGCGCATCGGCCTTCCATGGCTTGACGGCGCCGGCGTACAGGCGCTTGTAGCACGTGGCAAGACACGCGTGCGACGCGACGGCACCGAGCACGCCAACGTAGAGCGCCGCACAGTATCGTGGCAGCACTGCATAGGCCGCGAAGCGCGGGTCCTTGCTGGCGTAGTAGGCCGTGGGGATGGTCACGACGGCGCAGACGCGCTTGAGGACGTCGTCGGCCACGCTGGCTGCCATTTTCGGGTTGTGCAATATCAGATGTGGGAGGTCGGATGAAGCGGCCCGTTGCACGGATTGTAACTGCCACTCGATGGCGCCGTCCACAATCAACTGAAATAGTATCAACCCTTTGTATCAACCGCCTGGATCAATCAATGTGCTTGATGAATAAGGAATAACATCTACCCGTATTGCTTTTGTACATAGCGAGAGACAAGCCTGGTGCTGCGGATACCGGTTCTTCGTTGACGAGCATATCTCTGCGCTCGTGCTGTCGACAAGAAAGTCGGATGAGGATAAACGTACACCTTTCAGATGTCGATATATTGACACAGCAGCTGCACAAGCATCATGGCCCGTAAAAGGTTACAAGCCCAAAAATATTCAACTAGCACACATGGCTGACAGGTCCGGCGTGTGTCGTTGAAATGTTGTATCCATTCCGTCCGGAACTTGGTCGGCCATGCGAAGGATCCGGTAGCGTAGCCGTTGCGGCGCCTCTTGAGGAGCGTCTTCTCGTCAGTCTGCAGTGTATAGAAACGCAGCAATTTCAACGGGTGCTACAACGTGAATGAGAGTGTCAGCGTTGTGATGGTTCGTGTCGACTAGTACAAGAGTAGCGTGCAATACGGGTACAAGTGTACACATAAAGCGTTTGAATGCCATTTAACCTACCCCTGACCTAGCCCCAACTACGCACGTATTCGGGGGTTGTCGCTCCGCGCTTACACAAAACCAAGTACAGTACATACTTAGACTCATAATGGCTGCGATAAATAGGTCCAAGGTGCTACATGAATGAACTAGAGCGACTTGGATCCGAGAGAAACCATGCGCTGGACTTCATTTGCAACGTCATAAGCCACTTGAGTCGCCGCCGAAACGATGGCAAAGACGGCGTGGCTGAGCTGCTGTACAATGACCGATGCCACGTGCACCACCGATTGCACTATTGCCATCACCGCTAGCCACGTTGCTACAGCGACCGTCGAAGCC